TTTCCTCTTTGGGGTGTTTTTCTTCTTTCACCTCTTTCTGGGGTTTTCTTTCTGCTTTTACTTCTTTGGAGTGTTTTTCTTCTTTCACTGCTTTCTGGGGTTTCTTTTCTTCTTTTTCTCCTTTTGGAAGTATATTTTTATCTTCTACTCCAGTTAGTTTCTGTTCTTTCTTGTCTTTAACAAATGTTGTCTCTTTTATTATTTTGGAAATGTTCTTTTCTCCCTGAATTTCTTCAGCAAGTGTCTTTTTTTCTATTTTATATCTTATCTGTTTCTTTTCATCTCTCTTTTCTTTGTCTGACTTGGTTTTTTCTAGTTCTCTTCCAGGAATTTTCTTTTTTGAAGGTTTCTTTTCTGTTTTCTTTTCTTTGGAAAGTTTCTTTCCTTGTGTTTCTTCAAGGTCTATCTTTTTTTCTATATTTTCTTCTGTATGTTTCTTTTCTTTGTCTTTAAACGGTTTCTGTTCTCTGATTTTTTCTTTGGTATCTTTCACGTCTTCATCTCTTTCTTTGTCAAGTTTCTTGTCTTCAATTTTTTCTTTGGCAGGTTTCTTTTCCTCGTTCTTTTCCTTTGGAATTTTATTTTTCATTTCTTCTTTTGGAGGTGTTCTTTCTTCCTTCTTTTCTTTATCAGCTTTCTTTTCAACCATTTCTTCTTTGAGAAGTTCCTTTTGTTTAGAAAGTTTTATCTCTTTTGTCTCCTCTTTGAAAGATTTTCTTTCTTCCATTTTTAATTTCAAAGGTTCTCCCATTTCTTGTTTGATAGGTTTATTTTCTTCTTTCTTTTCTTTAGGAGCTTTCTCTGCTTTAAACACACCTTTTAGAGGTTTCTTGTCTTCTTCATGAACCTTTTTCTTTTCTTTTGTTTCTTTTTTGAGTTGTTTCTTTCCATCTTTTATGTCTTTCTGTTCTTCTTCCTTCAAAACTTTTTCTTGAGATGGTTTTGGTTTAGCTTCCTTAAGAAGTTTTTCTTTGGGCTGCATCTTTTCCATTTCATTTTTTTCTGATTTCCTTTCTTTTTTCTCTTTCTTTTTTAGTTTATCCATGTCCTTATATTCCTTTTCAATTTTCTTTTCTTCTTTTTCTGCTTTTGTAGCTTTCTTTAGTTCTTTTTCTTTAGGAGATAATCCCTTATCTGCCTGCTCTTCTTTGGCTATTATCTTGTCATCGTTTTTGCTTAGTGTTTTTTTGTCCTTTACTTTAGAGGGCTCCTTCACTTGTTCTTTTTCTTTGCCTGTTTTCTTCACATCTTTCTTTACTTTAGGATGTGTTGCCTCTTTCTTTTGTTCTTTCACAATTTTTGTTTCTTCATTCTTCTTTTCTTTTTCTTTGAGATGTTTCTTTGCAGACGTTTCTTCTAAAAGGACCCAAGAGAGGAACCAAAATAATTATATACATGCAAAATATTTAAGTTCAAATCTTGACTGCGTATTGTGTGACAGTTGTCTTGAGAAGTTTAAGAGTATATATTAGTTAAAAAATGCAAGTGCTTGTCTAGATATTCACAAGTTTACATTGATATATCCACCTTATTTCTGGGGGCTCTACTGAATAAATGATTATGAGTACAACTTCAGACAGGAAGTAGAGCTAAGTATTCAGCATCCATAACATAACCATGGTAGCAAAGCACAAACTGTGGTTTATTCGAAAGTAATTTGCATTCAGTTTATCAGATAAAACACTGTTTTTGTTTGGTTTAACAACCATAAAGTTTACTAAAATAGCATTGCAGTGTTCATGTACCTGTTGTGTTCACAGCTCCATGAACAGCCATACAAAATTAAATCAGTGACTACAACAATAGTATTTTGAACGCAGACCAAAAACAAAAAGACTGTTCCTGTGAAAAGACGTATAGTTTCTATTGCCTACCTACAGACGAGGAATTAAAAGAATGTAGCTGAAAAATGTGAACTTGAAGAGACCACCCAAAACTCTGTCTGTGAGCTCATTTCACTTTGTTGACAAACGGCCGACGGAAGAAAACCTGCATCCTACTTTGTGTCTGGACTACAATCAACCACCGGAGAAGAGACGCCGGATCCTCAGAAGGATTGAAAACAATGTGACGAGAACATCAGGTATGATTTCAAGTATAGTATTTGTTCATCTTCAGTATTATGATTTTCTCTGCAATTAACCCGAGCTCAGTGATGGAGGACTTTAAGGCTTTGACTGGGCTCTGTGTCCGCTTTTAGGTAAATGAGATTGTGTGTCACCTCTTTTAACAAAACACCACCGACCTTATTACTGTGTAGATACTGATACACCTCAGAGCTTTTCAGATTGTTCATCGCCTCCCCGTCAGAAGAACCGAGTCAATGATGTAACTGTAGTGAACTAAGCCTAAGGTCAAAACCCTTGACCTTAAGAACCTTGTGGGACAGAAACTGTCATTTCATTGATTTGAATCCAGAAATACAGGTTCACCCATCCTGAGACTTTCTTTCTTGAAAATTCAAGTGAAAGAACACTCTCTTTTCTATTATCATTACTGTTTTACAAATGTTTGATAATCAAAGTGTTTTAGTTCAAACCATTTTAGATGTTGCAGTGAACTAATCATTTTTAATTAACAGTGAAAACAGTAACAATGATTTTTTAATCCTCATGCAAAGTTAGAATTCATGTTAAGGCCTGTTACAGAGTAATTATGCATTTTCTGATTTTCTGTCTTTGAATGAGCAGTGTACGTTTGTTCCAAGGTCGGAGTCGAAGCAGACAAGTGTTGGAACAACTGTCTTGTTTTTAAATCCTCTCAGACGTAAACAGAGAAGTTGGCACCTGTTTCTCCAAACTCGCCCAAACATTTCTCTCGCCTGTCTGGGGAACATTTTCAATCTGTTCCATAACATTCTTGCTGTTTTCTGACTTCTAGTAACCTTTTACGTCACAAAACACACCCCTGTCTGGTCGACATTGACCAATAAGAAAACTCCCAAATGAACCGGAAATAGTGCCCTTTAAAATGTCGGTACTTCCTAGTTCTCTAAAAAGAGAGTTCTGTGAGTTGCCGTTGGAGTCGGGCTGGAGAGTTTGCAGCTCCAGTCGTTTGGGAGAACAGAAGTCCAGCCATGATAAGGCTCTTCCGAGATTGGGATTATGACATCTTCCACCTCTGAGTGGAACTCGGACGAACCCCTCTCATGTGAGGTCCACTGGCTGAGGTGAACTTGTGTCAGACGGAATATCGTCACTACTTCGGACGAGTCACAGCCATCCTATGGAGACGCTGGACAGGTAGCGTTAACTGGAACTCCGTATCCGCTGATTCATCTTCAGAGAGGTAGCGAGTCAAGTTTACTACCGAGCGTACCGAGGAAAGCTGGGTTCGAATGGAGAGTGTTGTTTCTGGTCAACACTCTCCCTCACACACCATCTTTTACTCCCTTTAAACTTCATTTTCCATCTTTAAATTCTTCTATCAAGTAGAAATCATTCCAGATATTTTAGAAATGTCTGTGTAAAGTCTTCCAATCACCGCCGTGTGGTTGATCATAATTGTACAGCTTGCTGATTAATTATGTTGTTATTTTCATATTTTGCCAAATTGATGTAAATGTTTGATGTTAAACTTTGATTCTGTAAATAAATGACCACATTCATTTTGATGGGTCAAAGATAAATAACGTCTCACGATACATTTTATTAAATTCAATGCACGTTATATACAGTCCAGAAAAATGAAAGAACTCGTTTAGTTGATGAATATATCTCTGGATATGTCATACTACATAGCTAAATATGCTAGTAGATGAAATCTGCAGCCACTTCTTCAGGTTGTCCTCCATCCCTCGTCCTCAGCAGGAGTGGTATAATTATATTGTCCTGTTCGAGCTCTGGCAGGTGGTGTTCCTACATGTTTAAATTAAATCTAAAATTCTCAGAGAAACTACATTAGCTTATATTGTTTGCACATAAACAAATGCCAGTTTCGATCCATGCCGGAAGTCGCGCCCATAATTCACACAAGGCACCATGGGGCCTAGGAATAAGGTGGATAGGTCTATTAATTAGTAGTAATATAGCTTTCACTTCTTATGGTTTAAATTCAAAGCAATTTTTAACATCTTAATTACTAATTAGATATTTTTGTCAGCTTGAACACATTTTGTAATATTTTTACCTTCAGGATGTGCCTCTTTTTTATCAAGAGGTTTAGCCACAGGTTGGTCCTCTTTTGGTTTGTCTTCTTTTAGTTGTGCAAGTACAGTTTCTTTAATTTTAGCTTCCTCCTCTCTTTCTTCTTCCTTTTCAGGCTTTCCAACTTTTATATCTGCAGACATTAAGATATCTTCAGAGACAAAACAATCATGCTACTATGTTTACATCCAATTAGTACAAGTCAGTGCAATGTTAATTGACGACTCCTTTTATTATTTATGACACCTGTTGCCTTTTTGAGGACTAAAGGACATCATAAAAACCACAGCGTACTTCAGGGGAGTAATGTGGAGTCAGAAGCAGCCAAAGCAAAGCTTGCAAAGCTCTAGGGGGCATTGTAGCTTTGAATTCACCAATATGTAATATTTAGTTATTGTGTGTTACATAAAAATATGTTTTTGGCACTTGTTTTACTTTATGATGAGCAAAATTACAACCAAAAATACAATAAAATCACTAATATGTTGATTTAACACAAAGTGTAGACACATGAAACATGAAACAAATCAAAGACTTATGATGATGATGAATGGATATATCAGTAAAACCTAAACAATGTGTACATTTACAACCATTCCCCAGAAATGAATGAATCAGCATGTACTTCAGTTGCTGTATGTCAGGTAATAACTGTTCGAGTTTTGTACCTGTGTCATGTTCGCTGACGTGTTCTTTATGTGATGTTCTGGGCCTGACTCTTCTCAGCCTCCTGAAGGCAGCATGATCCTCCTCCATCTGTTCAGCCTCAGCCTTCCTGCTCTTCGTATTTTCATCACCATCATCCTTTACGTCAAGAAACTCTTCCTCACTGGAATCAGAGGGCGAAGTCTCTTCGTCGTCGTCAGATTCAGGTAGAGCGGAGCGATTAACCAACATTTTCAGATCTGATTGTTGGACTGATGGTGACTCCTTTTCATCTTCATCGTCAAACTGATCTTCAGGTTCCTCTGCAGGTTTTTCAGGTGGACTTCTGTCTTCCCTGAAAGTCACATCAATATTTATTGAAGACAGGTTGCTGTCTTCAGTTTCCAGTTTTGTCTTTTCCTCCTCTCCAGCTTCAGTTTTGGTTTCCTCCCTGGTCTCCTCTTCGTCAACCTTCATGGTTTTAGACGCCTCCTTTTCTTGATCTTGTAGTGTCACTTCAATTTTTAGTTCCTCATACGTCTCACTTTCTTCATTATCATCTGCTGAAGTGTCTTCAGTTTCAGGTTCCTCCTCCTCCTCCTCTTTGGCCAAATGGTCCAGAGTTTCAGGTTCCTCCTCCTC